TGTCACATGGTCTGACCACCCACCTGTCTACCTGACTATAGCAGAGGACCATTGCAATAAATGAATGTCACCTTGGAGATTAAACACATACTTATTAGGGCATACCCACTATGTCAAATGCTTTATACTATGCTGGGCATTGTAGGCTTTACATAAAAGCAGATCCCATGCTGCCTCCAATAGCTATCTCTTATCTGGAGAGGTAGATTTGGGTGTCATCAGCATATAGATGCTATTGGACGCTATTGGAGGCAATCAATTAACCAAGGGAGGAGTAGAAAGAAGACAGAACCTTGAAGGACACCTACAAAAAGTGGAAGAGAAGAGGAGAAGATGGAGTTTTAGGTGATTCTGAGGGCGTGCTTAGATATGTAAGAGGGGAACCAGGAAAGAACAGAGTCTTGGAGGAAAGGATGTCAAGTTTTTGGTGGAGGAACTGGTGGTCATCTTTATCAAGGGCAGCAGAAAGGTCCCAAAGTATGAGTACCAGTGACGTGCGGTACCTCTTGTTCCAGGTGAGGCAGCCTCGCCCCCAGCATGTTCTGCCCCCGACCCCACCGGACGAAGCCGTGTGCCCTGCCAGATGAAGCCCCGCCCCCAACCCCTCCCCAAGCTAGTTTAAATGGAGAAAGGGAGGAGACAGGGAGGGGCCTCACTTGCTCGTCACTGCTGAAACATCGAGATCGATGGCCTCAGTGGGTTTTTTTTTTTTATTGGACAGCTTGGACCAATGGTGCTTTGCCATTGGTACAAGCCACCCACAGAGCTCACGCCTCTAATACAGAGTAGAGGCTGTGACAGCTCTGGCTTCAATAGTTAGGTTACATAAGCAGTGGGGAAGCCGGCTGCTGTGTAACCAAACTACCTGTCAAAAGCCGGATGCAGCTCTGTCTGTAATTAACAGGCAGCGCTAAGTCCATGATTGGTTACACAGTGGGGGGAGGGGGGGCTGGGGGTTCCGTAGTGTGTAACCTGATAGAAGACGATCTGAATGGAGAAAAAGCTGTCAGCTTCAGACTTGAAGCTGACAGCTTTTTCCTCCATAATTCTAGGTGAGGCTCCGCCCCGCCTGCCTCCCCTGACCACACGTTCCTGATGAGTGCTGAGTAGTGCCCATTGGTTTTACTATGTTGTAACTCAATAGTGAGTTTTAGTACATCACAATGTAACAGGGAAAGATGAGGCAGATATAATCATGAAAAAAAAAAAAAACTATAGCCAGAAATATTGCAGAGTTGCTGTACTGTATGTAAGCGGATTTATTAGGCGGCAATTTATGATGGAGAGACGAGGCAGGTTTCGCTAGGAAATGAAAATTAGAAGGTATTATTTCAGAGAAAATACCCAGAAATATTGTCAAAGCGCAGTGTGTAAGCATTTGTAATAAACACAAAAGAAAGACTGCTATAAAAAATGAGGACCTGTGCCACTTTCTGGAACACCATAATGAAGGTCCCAGTTACTTGTATAGAATCCATAAGACACAACCTTCCAGAGGCCAAGCGCTTTATACTTCTGTGAGCACGTGAAACATTCTGGATCTTTGACCATAGTTTGTCTTCTCATGTCTACTTTATGAGGCCCTTTAAACCCGCACTCTCTTTTGATAGCATCTCCCCCTACACGCTCTTTAATTGCTCTCTTATTTTCCCACACATTTTGTAAATCTTTCATTGCTTCAATGTATACAGTCATTTCATTATCATTAGTTTAATATTTCCGCTGCTATGGCTCTATCTACTAGTGGAATATGGTGATGCCTAGTGTTCAAAACAGGCCGCCATGTTTTCACTATGATCCTTCTCTTCATGCATTTCCTCTTGTTTATACACCGAGTGGCCGGATTATTATGTACACTGAGTGGCCAGATTATTATATACACTGAGTGGATGCATTGTCTTTTATTTGTTTGCATCCATGGACTGTATTTAATGATACAAAGACTTCTGTACTGTTTTATATTTTTATGCTATATTCATTTCTGCCATTGTTTTTAAAAGTTGTTCGTCCTATTTTTATTAATAAAGTTTATTACATACTGTGTATCAATTGTAAACTCTTTGTGGGTGTTGCATCAGAAATAATACACTCTAATCTCTATTTCATGTTACAACCTTCCTCCTCATTCTTAATAAAGGTACCTTACCAATGTTGAGGTGTGGCTTAATATGGTTCAGGAGGAAGGGGTTAATGCTTGTTGACCCCCTTTTCCTGGACAGCCAGTCTGTATGCCTGGATAAGAGTCTGGTTTGGATATTTACGGGGACCCCCAGATTCCATAACAACTATAGATCACGATATGCTTACCCCAGAAATGCACCGATACAGATAACAGTATTGGTATCAGTATTGATTACAGTATTGATGCCGATATTAGGAATTTTCATGAGTATTTGTACTTGTGCACATGCCCTGATACTAAGTGCCGATACCAGCACATTAAAACTGAACCCGGCGCTGTTAACAGACGTCGCAGTTCACAGGAGGGCTACTGCTGAGGTCCCCAGCAAGCGCAAGACTTTAGCTAGCCTTCCTGTGAACTGCAGCGTCTGTCTACAGTACCGGTCACACATCTCCTCCTCCACCTGCCCCCAAGACCAACCAGGACCCCTGTTGAGACCCTAAACAGCCTTCTGAGACCCCGCACAGCCTCCTGAGTCTCTGCACAGCCACTCGAGACTCTGCACAGCCCCCTGAGACCCCACACAGCCTTCTGAGACCCCGCACAGCCTCCTGGCACCCTGGAGTAGCACAGAGTATGTAGCTTCATATTATTCTCCATTGCTGTATAATGTATTGCTGGGATTTGTAGTCCTCTATAGCCGGTGTCATTTGGCATTAGTGTATTGCTGGGATATGTAGTCTTTTCTAGCTGGTGCGGATAGATAGAGGAACCCTCCGCACACCTCACAGCAGTCCCGGCCTATATAACAGATGGTGCTCGCAGTGATGACCAGGCACAGAGTAGATACAGCAATGCACACAGGGTCCCTTCCTCAGGGCAAAAAGATGGGTCACGTGTGTGACTGTGACGTTTTGTCCAATTAAATTGACATATTGAAAGATATCGCTGAGTGCTGGTGATCTTTGTCTCTTTTACAGCTGGTGTTCTTCTGCATTGCTGTATAATGTATTGCTGGGATCTGTAGTCTTTTCTAGCTGGTGTTCTTCTGCATTGCTGTATAATGTATTGCTGGGATCTGTAGTCTTTTCTAGCTGGTGTTCTTCTGCATTGCTGTATAATGTATTGCTGGGATTTGTAGTCTTTTCTAACTGGTGTTCTTCTGCATTGCTGTATAATGTATTGCTGGGATTAGTTAACAGACGTCGCAGTTCACAGGAGGGCTACTGCTGAGGTCCCCAGCAAGCGCAAGACTTTAGCTAGCCTTCCTGTGAACTGCAGCGTCTGTCTACAGTACCGGTCACACATCTCCTCCTCCACCTGCCCCCAAGACCAACCAGGACCCCTGTTGAGACCCTAAACAGCCTTCTGAGACCCCGCACAGCCTCCTGAGTCTCTGCACAGCCACTCGAGACTCTGCACAGCCCCCTGAGACCCCACACAGCCTTCTGAGACCCCGCACAGCCTCCTGGCACCCTGGAGTAGCACAGAGTATGTAGCTTCATATTATTCTCCATTGCTGTATAATGTATTGCTGGGATTTGTAGTCCTCTATAGCCGGTGTCATTTGGCATTAGTGTATTGCTGGGATATGTAGTCTTTTCTAGCTGGTGCGGATAGATAGAGGAACCCTCCGCACACCTCACAGCAGTCCCGGCCTATATAACAGATGGTGCTCGCAGTGATGACCAGGCACAGAGTAGATACAGCAATGCACACAGGGTCCCTTCCTCAGGGCAAAAAGATGGGTCACGTGTGTGACTGTGACGTTTTGTCCAATTAAATTGACATATTGAAAGATATCGCTGAGTGCTGGTGATCTTTGTCTCTTTTACAGCTGGTGTTCTTCTGCATTGCTGTATAATGTATTGCTGGGATTCGTAGTCTTTTCTAACTGGTGTTCTTCTGCATTGCTGTATAATGTATTGCTGGGATCTGTAGTCTTTTCTAGCTGGTGTTCTTCTGCATTGCTGTATATTCTAACTGGTGTTCTTCTGCATTGCTGTATAATGTATTGCTGGGATCTGTAGTCTTTTCTAGCTGGTGTTCTTCTGCATTGCTGTATAATGTATTGCTGGGATTTGTAGTCTTTTCTAGCTGGTGTTATTCTGCATTGCTGTATAATGTATTGCTGGGATCTGTAGTCCTTTCTAGCTGGTGTTATTCTGCATTGCTGTATAATGTGTTGCTGGGATTTGTAGTCCCCTATAGCTGGCTGTATTCTGCATTGCTGTATAATGTATTGCTGGGATTTGTAGTCCCCTATAGCTGGCTGTATTCTGCATTGCTGTATAATGTGTTGCTGGGATTTGTAGTCCCCTATAGCTGGCTGTATTCTGCATTGCTGTATAATGTATTGCTGGGATTTGTAGTCCCCTATAGCTGGCTGTATTCTGCATTGCTGTATAATGTATTGGAGCTTGGAGTCAGTGACAGAACTACCTGGGGCAGCTAGGAACGGGCACTGGCGCTCCACCACTTTCCTAAAATCTTTAGTCTGTATTGTTTAAAAAAAACTGTCACATGACACTAAAAAAAAAGTATCAGTAATTGCGGATTTCTTGAGGAAAAGTATTGGTATCAGTACTCGGTCTGGAAAAAATGGTATCGCTGTATGTATCCCTATGTATTTTTTACAACAAAAGTACAACATATGTAACAATGATTCACCTGAGACTGTGAAAGTTGACACATTCATTTTATCATGATGAATGCTTTGTATACAACTTTGTATTCTCTTTATATCATATCGAGACTCCTGCGAGATTGTAATTGATCTTGTTTGAGATCAGTAAAAAGAGTTAAATGATTGGTAAGAATGGTTTCACTTTAACAGTCACAGGTTTTCAAAGTGAAACTAATGTGAAGAACAGGAAGTGTTGTTTATGGAAAGTGAGGACGGAGGAGACAACGCAGCACACAAATCTACAATAATTATATAGAAATGGATTATAAGGAGCTGAGAAGGAAGATTGAGACCTTCAGCCTGGACGATGGAGATCTGGGCAACCAGGGCTATGAGAGGGTCCTCCTCCAGCTGTTTGGCTACCTGGGTCATGGTAAATCCTCCTTCATTAACTCCTGTAAGTATGTTCTGGATGACGGGAGGGCATTTGTAGTGTATGCTGAGGCTGGACAGAGGGAAGATGGAGGAAGCATGACTATGATAAGGAAATCCTATAAACTCACCTCCAATATCACCATGGTGGACAACCGAGGCTGTAAATCCATAACCAACTTTGAACGGGCCGAGGTCTACGCCCAACTCGGTGAGTTCAACTACCGGCTATAATCCTTTATTTTGATTATTATTACAAATGTAATTATAATTCCCCCAGTATGAGACCTCAGTCTGTAGATCCACACTATCAGGCACGGTTCCCATTCCATAGTGTGTTCATCTATGTTTTATTTTAAAAAGCACGGACAAAAAAGGAACAAGCGCACTACCAAAGGTACAAATTGGGCTTCCAACAGGGCTATAGAAAACAATGTGCGGCTCTTAGAGGCAGGGAGAGGAGCCCTGTGTTGGCAATAGCAGACTGTAGTGTGTTTAAGAGCGCTACTCCTGTATAAGTTCAATTAGACAGTCATGAAATGTAACAATGTTGTATCACACTGGGGATGAACAGAATACAAAGGTGACTCACTTTTAGATGTCCTAGGGAGCTTTGAGAATGGTCCGGTGGAGACACTAAGACAAATCTGGACAAGTGAAGCCCAGTAGTGTGGTCGGCAGAGGACATAGGTGCAGATGTCTGTCGCAAAGAAACTCAGCTGGCCAGGCTGAGCCGTTGCTGCCGCAGACACTGTGAAGTCAGTGCTGTGTGATAATACTAGTCTGGTGCCGTCAGTCTATCAGAGGTCTCAGGGGATGGAACGACAAAGTCGTGGGGAACAGACTTCGGCTGAGACAATGATAGGGGTGTAATGCAGTGGTAGAGGGTGTCAGAAGGGAGGACAGAAAAGCGCTACGCGTTTCGAGGCTATGCCTCTTTGTCAAGCTCTAGTGAAAAGTGGACGGAACAGATTAGCGGGAAAGCCGCGATTTATAAAACTGACAGCTGGGCGGGGCTAGCACTCGTGGCCTTATCCTGATAGGAGTATGAGAATGGAGGGGCGGAGTGGGCATAGCGGACCGCCCATATTAGTCTCGAGTGGCATCTTGTTCTGAGCCAGCGGGTCATATCTTGCTAGCAATCCAATAACCGAAGAGTAAAAATGAACTAATTTAAACGGATTTAAACATTAAGCATGCCAAGCAAATTTTATTCAAGAGATTAAAAAGATTAAACAAAGTAAATCCGGGTCGATAATCAATGGTACTGGAAACAAGGAACAGGAGACGTCAGGGCAGTTGCAGAGACAATCCAGCAATGAGTAGGTGTGGAGTCTGGGTTTAAATAGTGAAGGAAATGATTTGGATAGCATCACTTGCTGTGAGCCTTTTGGAGAGTGTCACTTCCTGTGAGCCTTTTGGATAGCATCACTTCCTGTGAGTCTTTTGGAGAGTGTCACTTCCTGTGAGCCTTTTGGAGAGCGTTCTTCCGCGGACAGTCCTTGGCGCGCGCATGCGCTCAGGCCCATTACGGGAACCCCGGCTTGGCACATGCGCAGAAGCAGCAGGTCTCTGACAGGCACTATTCTGAACACTGACATAGAGCCCCATTATGACCACTGACACAGGGGCACTATTCTGAACACTGACATAGAGCTCCATTATGACCACTGATCCCGGGGCAGCATTCTGGTGGTGTAGACCAGGAGGTGGGGATTATAGCGGCACACACAGCATGCCATGCCAAAATGTATGTAATGTATGAGTTTGATAGCCGAACCCATTTTGCCCCAGAGTAAAATATGGAGCTAACAGTGCTAAAGGAAGAAATGCCCCAGCATCGGTGTGAGGAAAATTGCCCCTGCTCTGGTGGTGTCACTGAAAGGAAAAAATGCTACTCTGTCAGTGGTGTCAGTCCAAGGAGGACTGCTTTGACATCTGTGTTAGTGGGGTGAAGGAAGGGAGCAGGTAGTCTTGGG